AATTCTGTGTGTAACGTATCGAGGAACTGCCAGACTGTTTTCCAGAGTGGCTATACCGCTCTCCGTTCCCACCACCAGCAGTGGATGAAGCTTCTAGTTGTTGCACATCCTTGCTAGCACTAGTTCATGATTTTTGATTCTAGCCATCTAGTGGGTATGAAATGGTAGCTCCTTGTGGTTTTGATTTGCTTTTTCCTGATGAGTAATGACATTGAGCAACTTTTCATGTGTTAGATCAATCATTTGTGTATCTTCTTTGGAGAAATGTCTATTCAGATTTTTTGCTCGTTTTTTTTTTTTTTTTTTAGTTTATTTATTTCTAGGAGAGAGAGACAGCGTGAGCAGGGGAGGGTCAGAGAGACAGGGAGTCACAGACTGAAACAGGCTCCAGGCTCCGAGCTGGCAGTCAGCACAGAGCCCGACGCGGGGCTCGAACCCACAAACCGCGAGATCATGACCTAAGCGAAAGTCGGAAAGTCGGACGCTTAACCGACTAAGCCACCCAGGCGCCCCTTTTTGCTCGTTTTTAATTGGGTTGTCTTTTTGTTATGGAGTTGTAAATTTCTTATTATTTGATTGTTATTAAAAAAAATTTTTTTTTAGTTTGAGAGGAGAGTGTGCATGAGCTGGGGAAGGGTAGAAAGAGAGGAAGAGGGAGAATCCCAAGCAGGCTCTGCGCTTGAACTCATGAAATGTGAGATCATGGCCCGAGCTGAAACCAAGAGTTGGACACTTAACAGACTGAGCCATTCAGGTGCCCTGAGTTGTAAAATTTTTTATAACAATATCTTGGATATGCCTCTTCTCAGGTGTATGACTTACAAATAATTTGTTGCCATTCTGTGGGTTGTCTTTTGACTTTCTTGGTGTCCTTTGCACAAGTTTTTAATTTTGACAAGAGTTCAGTTTCTCTTGGTTGCGTTGCGCTGGTCTCGGTGTTTATCTAAGAAACCATTGCCTAACCCAGGGTCACAAAGATTTATTCTTATTTTCCATTAGGAGTCTTGGCTCTCACATTTCAGCTGTGGTCCACCTGGAGCTGTTTTTGTGTTTGGTATGAGATAGGGTCCCAGATTTCTTTTTGTGCATGTGGATATCTGGTTGTTCCAGAACCATTTATTGAACAGGCATTTGTATTTTTATGTAATTTTTTATATGTCTCTAGCATGTAGATCGCAGAGTGGTAGAATGAACCTCCGGGCACCCAGCTGTATCTGGCTTCGGTAGTTAGCATCATTCTGCCGTTTCTGCTCATCAGCCATCTCCTCAGTCTTCCCCACCCCCCTTTCTGGAGTATTTTAAATATAATTCGATTGTGTTAAACAATTCTGCAGGTGATTCTAATGTGCAGTAAAGGTTGAACTACTGTAAAGAGGATCATTCACATCTTGTCACAGAAATTTGATACTTAGAAAGGATTTTGAAATTTACTCTTCATCTACAAGAGGGAGCTAAAGATGACCTATTTAAAATATTAACGATTTTGACACTTAAGTCTGTTAAGGATTCTAACCTGCCATAAAAATCACGTACTGTTTTTTCTTGGCTGTTTACTGGTTTCTGGAAATCAGGGTCACATGGTTCCCTTAATGGTCAAGTTTTCATCTACATGTAACTATTGGGTAAACAGGTCATTCCCTGATGGAGTTCACGACGGGCTTGTTTAGCGATGCGTTAGTGTATTGTTTCTGACTGTTGCACCTTTTCCTGTTTGCCTACACCGCCTGACCCAGGATTTTGTCTTCCAGGTACATCCCCACAGCAGCCGCATTCGGGGGCCTGTGCATCGGCGCCCTGTCGGTGTTAGCCGACTTCCTCGGGGCCATCGGCTCAGGCACTGGGATTCTGCTCGCAGTCACCATTATTTATCAGTATTTTGAAATTTTTGTCAAGGAGCAGGCTGAAGTTGGCGGGATGGGTGCTTTGTTTTTCTAACTGTTCCAGTATTTCTTCTTGTGTGTGTGAAAGGGAAAATCATTTTGACACATTGTTTTTGTCATATAATGCTGGTTCCCCTTTTCTTCCCTCACACTTTGTTTTCAAGTGCTGACTGTCCCATTCGTGAAATGGGCACTGAGCTAAGCCTGTGTGCAGCGTTAGTACCAGCTGCCTTAAAACTCAAGTTTACATTACTCGTTAAAAAATGTACTCGTAGTGTTGCCTGTGATGCTGGAAACCAGCGTGCCCGCCTTGCCATGTTCAGTTGTGACGGTGAGATGGTGACGTGGATCAGTTTTGCACACAACATTCAAAACACTCGATATTCCCCCCACTTGTTTAAAAATAAATGTAGTTCAGATTGCCACTTTCCAGTATTTTTGAGCTTATTTAATGAGTTCTGGAACATTTATATCTAATCTGTATTTTAGATATAATTAACTTTTTATACTTTTTTTAACTCATCGTATCCACGTTCCCCTCCTCCCTCTCCATCCACCGCCCTTCTCGTCCCCTCAAAGCTGCCACTCAGCCCAGACGGGCAGAATCAGGTTTTGGTTCCAGCTGTTCCTGGAAACAGCCGCTTGTAAGGACTCACTGACTTTCATTCCTTCCTCCCTAGTGACAGCAGTCGGTGCTGTTTGACTGTATTGGCTATGCCTTCGAATTCCAGCCCATCACTGGAGAATATGCTTTCAAGATACGATGCCCCAATTGTTTTTTTTTTTTTTTTTAATCCCTAGAGCAAAGATCTAATTCTCAAGCAATGCCTGTAGTTCAGTGGGGGTGAACAATGAGTAATTCATGCTAGGAATTTGTGTATGTTGTTGTACTTTACAGCAGCAACATGAGTGTAAACAGTAGAAAATAAACCTTTATTTAATAAAATTGTTTCAGTTGTGTTGGAAAAATAAAATCGGACATTAAATGATTTCTAAGGTTATTTGTATATACGGTTCATTGCTGTCATACAAAACCCATCCTGAGAGGTCTGTTGTAAGAGATCAAACGTAATGAGTTTAGAATTTAATCCTAAAACGGTTGAGGAAACGACCAACTTCAAGGTGCTCAGTTATGTGACTGATACTACAAATAGGAAAACAGTGGTCTCAGATAACATCCCAGCCTCCATTTGAAATCGCGTAACTCTTTATAATTTTTTTAAAGTAGGTGTTCTGTTGTCCAAAGTCAAACTTAATTTTTGAAAGTTCCTTTTCAGAAGTAAGATTTTCTGTTGTTTATTAAGTGCAGGAAGTATATCTTTTTTAGCCTAGGATCACAAAACCAAACAATTACAGGGGCCAGGCAGATAGAGGCTGGCAGGATAGGGACAGGGGTCATCTCCTAAGGGCCTCAGACCATTATTAGAATAGAAATGTGGATCCAGTGTTGTCATATATGATTTTTTTTTTCAAGAGAAGGTGGAAATAGGGCTTTTTATAGGAAACCTTCCCCTTGTAAATGAACCGTGCCAGCCAGGGGAGACACCTAGGCTGCCAACTCTCACACTGACTTGACTTCCAAAGTACAGCCCTTGATGTTGAAAGGTTAACATAAATGGCATCGGGGGACGTTTAGGATTTAGCGGTCACTTCTAATGTGCACTCTGAGGAAGAGAAAAAGGCAAGACAGGTCCGGGGTCACAAACATCTCTCTTATACCAACATTTCAGAGTAGGTTTCTCAATTCCTGTGGGGAGGTGCTTTGGAAGAACTGGTCCATTTGGAGACTGGTCTGTGCCTAAGTCTGTAGCTTTTCTATACCTCGTCTGTTTCTTGATTTTGAAGGAGGGCAGTAACAAGGGAAATTACAGAACTTGGTCTTTGAGAGCTCAGGAGGAGGAGTAAGATCTCTGGAGCCTGGATGCCCATAATTAAAAATAAGGATTTTTTTTTAAAAAGGGGTCTAGGGACCCAGGGGAAGGCTACTATTAGAGCAAGTAGTTGGGCCTAATTTTTGCAGTATGTATAGAGACTAGATGGGATGTAGACAGCTCTCCAGTTCCATACCTTCCCCCTTTGTTGAGGGTGTATAATCCTGTATTTTTTGCTCACAAAGGCCTCTCTGGGTAACGGGACCTGTAGACAAATGAACTGTATCACACCATTTTTGGCAGGAGTATTCTGGTTTTATCTGGCTGGAGGGGCCTGAGCCCAAGGCTGGAAACCCAGCGTTGGGCTGGCCAGGGAGCATCACCGTGAGACTTCGGCTGGGGGCAAACCGGAGCTTTTGGAGACCACAGAGGTCCCCACAAGAGCAGAGCTCAGCGAAGGATGAGAAAACGGCCCACAACGCTGGTAGAAGTTTTGAATTACAAGGGCTCTAGGCATGGAATGGGCTGCAGACAGTCCTCCATTCTGGTCTTTAAGGGAGTTGTACTGGGTTTCCAGTACTTACTAACTTTGCCGGCTACACTCATGGTTTAACACCAAGACAATAAGGCCCACCAGCCAGGTAAATGGATTTGGTTTTAGAAATGTCAAGTACTTTGTGGAGATTAAGGATAGGAAAAAAAAAATTCCAAAGTATATATACTTGCTTGAGGGAAGGGCCCTGTATTTTCATTTGCTTCTTAACCTTGTCACGGTGAATGGCATCGACCACTTTTCATTACCTATGAGCTGGTTGACCTTCAGTAGGTAGGCAGAAGGCCACTGGCCAAATGTAAACATTTGCTCATCATGAATGTTACTGTGTTGATTATACATTTTCTGCTTTGCAGGGATGTTTATTAGTTCCATCTAGCAGATAATTAGAAGATAATTAGTAGGTCTTTTTTTTTTTTTAATCTTTGTTTAGACATTAATACAGTAAATACTTATTGGTGTACCTCCTTACAGAAGTTTATATGGGAATTGAGGGTGGGTGTAGTTGACCTAATTTGGAATTCAGGTCTTTTTTCCTCTAGAAATACCCTTATCTCCTGGATTAGATGAGATTTAAACAGAACTGGATTAAACATACCTGCATTTATGTTCTTTTTTGTTAATAATTTGCTGAAGTTTATCATTGAAATATGAAGGCTACAGCTTCCCCTGTAATTATAATTCCATATCACCACATGTATTCTGTGTTGCTTTTATTTAATGAAAAAGGCTAGTTTCAAATCTACATTAAGCTGAGCTGAATACAAAGTCTGAGTGAGGGAGGCCAGGTGTGTGGTCTTGTTTGTAAAAACATGGCTACTGTCCTTTGGCCTTAAAACTTCAGGAAAGGCACTTCAAAGGGCTTCGTGTTTGCGTGTTTCAGTGCCAGGGCATAGGAGTAGACCCTGGCGTCCACTGTCAGATGCTCTTCGGCTACCAAAGCTACAGGAAGCAAAGAATACAAGTTAGATTTTGAAGAAAATAAAGGAGAATACCCCTTACCAATCAATTGATACGGACTGAGCTCCTACTATGTGCCAGTTCCCACGCTCAATGGAGATAGAGCAGGGAACAAGACCTATTCTGCCTTCTGGGATCTTGCCCTAGTCAGAAGACGAAAGGATATATAAGCAGGAGTACATTTCCAGCAAAAGCCCAGAAGAAAAAAGAGGAAAGGCAGGAGACCACACACATCAGAGGTGAGGGCTTGATGCGTCAGAACAGCAGAGCTGTAAGTTGATAGATGCCATCACTACTTCTTCGAGAGCTCACTCTCGGGATGGGGGTAGGGGGTGACCCTCCAGGTCCTTCTCTCGGGATCCGAGCATCTTCTCCACTGCCAGGAGCACAGACTTTGCACCTGTAAGGTCAGCCACACGCACCACTGCACTAGCACAATGAGGTCACGGGAGCGTAGTCGTGCCCGTGGCTTTGAGGGGAGCTTCTGTTTTGCTCAGGCAGAGGGTAGCAGACCTGGAATCTGTCACTTGTTTTCCTAGCCATTAGCTTAGGCACAAGCTCAGAGGCATGCTGATCCCTGAAGGGAGGCCGGTGTCCTAACTCCTCTGTGCAGGGCAGGGGCTGGGAAGTGCTGAAAGCTCTATCGCGTAACCAACTGACCTCGAGAGACTTTCCTCCCAGCCTCTAAAATGTGATCTGTTGAATAAATGGTTTGATTACTGTATTTCAATTCTAATAAAGCTAGGAAAAATGGTTCTTTCCCCCTTTTCCTCTATGGAGCTGCCCCTCTCTTCCTCCCTCCCTCCCTCGCTCTCGCACTATTTATTGTCCCCTCTTCTAAGGCTAGATCTAGGGAGGTGAAGTTAGATGGAAGGGAGAAAGAAGTTCTTTAAGGAATGCTTCTTTCCTATAAAAACGCAGTGCAGACATACAGCGTCTAACATTTAAGCCCTTCTGTGCCAACATTATCTTGTTTAATTGTACTCACGCTCCCAGGGGACAGGGGTGACCTCTCCTTCCTGTTTTCGGAGAAAAGCCCGGAGAGGCTGTGGCACGTTTTCAAGGTTATACCCAGTACACAGTCGGCTGAACCTCAGACCTAGTCAGACCCGACAGACTCAAAGTTGTGCTGCCTGTTACTGGCAGCCCAGCTTTTCTCTGAGGAAACGAGGGCTGCCTGTCTCCAGTAGGCGCATTTCTCACTCTGAGCTCTTGAGGGGCTTAACCTACCTTAGGTCTAGTTTAAAAAAATTTTTTTTAACGTTTGTTTAATTTTTGAGACAGAGACAGAGCTCGAGGCAGGGAGGGGCAGAGAGAGAGGGAAACACAGAATCCCAAGCAGGCTCCAGGCTCTGAGCTGTCAGCACAGAGCCCGTTGTGGGGCTCGAACTCACAAAGTGTGAGATCATGACCTGAGCAAGTCGGACGCTTAACTGACTGAGCCACCCAGGTGCTCCAGGTCTAGTTTTTAAAAAGGCAAACTAGGAAGGAAAGCTTTCTAGGAAAGCTGAATTACAGTAGTTCTTGGAAGCTTATATTTACTTTAATTAATTTATGAATATTCATTTTTGACAGAGACAGAGCATGAGTGGGGAACAGGTGAGAGAGAGAGACACACACACATAGAATCTGAAGCAGGCTCCAGGCTCTGAGCTGTCAGCACAGAGCCCTACGCGGGGCTCGAACCCACAGACCGTGAGATCGTGACCTGACCTGAAGTTAGACGTTTAACTGACTAAGCGACCCAGGCGCCCCTCATGTTTACTTTTAAAACAACAGAGACATTAGAAATAAAATTGTAAGCACTGGTAGTTATGGAAGGGGAGAAAGAGCCCCCAAAGCCTCAGGTCAAATAGTGTTTCAAGCGAATTTTTGAAGTAAAAACTGTTAAACATTCGAGTTAGGACGATTATCTGTTCCTTTACAAATGAGTGAATGGGGACTTAGCAGCCAGCATGGAGATGCTCCCCGAAGGGCCTCGGTCAGGTTTCCAGTAGAGCATAGCCTAATGTCGTTTTACCAAAGGACATCTGCCCACATAACCTTATTCAATTTTTTACAAAATCCTGAGTAGATGGGCTGGCCAGAAATTACACACTGTAATTACATGACCAGTAGTTTACTAGGGTGACGCTGTTAGTTTGGTTTATTATATCAGCATATTGCTCTTTGTATATAGTAGATACCTCAATCTTTGTAGAGAGAATCTTGTTAAATTCTCCTTTAACTTCTACCCTGCACGAAGTACCATCCAACACTCTAGCATTTTTGAGGATCAGCTAAAAGATACGTACTTAGGCCTCTGCAATGCCATGGGTTACAGACACGAGGTGTAGAAGTCTGGGCTCATCTGCAGGAAGATGACTTTGGCTATTCTATAGGGAAAAAAACCCACTGAAAGCTTTCAACTTGACACAGAATGTTTTGCTCATATTTTCAAACTCTATGCCACCCAGCAAGGAAAATTGTTGGTTAACTGCAGCTCGACAACATTTCTAGGTATGTGACTTTAACGAGGAAGAGTGTGAAGAGTGCAACTCAAGTTCGTTCCTCACCGAATGGGACTGGGGGTGGGGAAAAATCAAGAAAACTGGGGAATAGTCTTAAGAATGCTTACCATCAAGTCTCTTCAGCAGGTCATTCTTTGGTAAGGAAATTACTTCGACAAATTCTAAACAAACAAAGTGCAAGTGAAAACGAAGCTCAAGAATTAGAGAGCCTACCAGAACACCACGACATGCCTGTGGCCATCTCCACCGCGCCAGGCCAGACACGTCAGCTGCGGCGAGCTGGGTAACATACCTCCGTCTCCTGAAAAAAACAGAAGGAGGACATTGCAGCAAGGTCTGCTGCCCTAAAACACTGCATGAGTTTGGTGCAAGACACACCAAAAAGGGCGTAAGAATTCAACAGAGACCTGGGTCCCTACTGATTTAACCTACGTACATTAGATTCTATGTACAATCTATGTAGACTATATTAGATTCTATAGATTTTAAGAGATCTATATAAGAAACAATCCAACAGTACAAAATTATTGTTCTCCAAATCAAATGTTTTAGAGCAAAACTTAAAGCACGTTCTATAATACACTAGGTGTTTTTAAATTGTTAAAACATGAAATTTACCATTTTAACCATTATTTTAATGTTTATTTATGAGAGGGAGAGACAGCGTGAGCAGGGGAAGGGCAGAGAAAGATGGAGACAGAATCCGAAGCAGGCTCCAGGCTCTGAGCTGTCAGCACAGAGCCCGGCGCAGGGCTCGAACCCATGAACCATGAGATCCTGACCTGAGCTGAAGTTGGACGTTCAACCGACTGGGCCACCCAGGTGCCCCTTAACCAGTTTTAATGGTGCAATTTAAAGGCATTAAATACATTCACACTGCTGTGCAGTTATCAGCACTATCCTTCTCCAGAACCCTTTCAGCAACCCAAACAGAACCTGGGTGCCCATTAAGTAGTATGTCCCCCATATAGTAGAAGAGGACCTCTCTTCTACTTTGTTTCTACGAATATTTTAGGTAACCTCAAGAGTGGAATCACAATATTTACACTTTAAAAACTTTTTTTTCTTAAGTAAGCTCTACACCCAAACATGGGGCCCAAACTCAGAACCTTGAGATCAAGAGCTGTGCGTTCCACGGACTGAGCCAACCAGGTGCCCCAATTTAATTCTCTGTCTGGCCTGACGAAGCACTCAGCACCACGTTACCGGAGGTCACCCCACTCAGCAAGCCCCACCCGGGCTGCTGGCTGGCTGGAACTCCACTGTGCATATTCACCATGTTTTTCTGGTCCGCTCATCTCCCAGTGGACACAAGTGGCATCTACCTTTTGGGTACTGTGATGCTGCGTGGACACTGGTTTGCAAGTCCCTCTCTGAGCCCCTGCTTTCGGTGCTTTGGGGTGTAAACCTCAGAGGGGTCTTGTTGGCTCCTGTGACAATTCCCTTCACCTCTGAGGACTGGCAGACTCCTCCACGGCAAGTTCTATGCGTACTTGCAAGTCTGAACGTTGAGTGTTTAAAATCAGCTGTGAGGGGCACCGACACGTTCAGGAGCCACTGAGGCGGTGAGAAACGGAAGGATGTGGCTGTGGTGTGTGACACCCCCTTCAATGGGGTAGGAGACAACAGAGAGCTGACAGGCGTTAAAGCTGGAGTCCCAACTTGCTAACAAGTCTAACAGAACAAGGAGTTTCCCCAGCGTTTCTCTAAGCAGGGAGCTCAGTCCACAACAACCAGCCGCAGGCCTCTAACGACCAGTCTTGCCACTGTCACAGCCACGCGAAGGCACACGTCTGTGATTCTGAAGATTTCCACTGTTTCCTCTTCAGACCTGGCGCTCATGTTACTAAGTGGGAATAAACTCCGTACAGAAAATAGGGAAATGGGAGAATTTAACATTTTATAAAGAATGCATAAAATCAGCTGAGTGTTAAAAACACTATAGGACCCAAAAGGGCCTGGAGTACTGACGAAGTATCTACAGACCTGTCACTCTTCTCTTCTCACCAAGGAGAAACCCAGTTCGGAGCGAGGTAACCAATCATCAGTGCACCAGAACCACCTTACCCGTAGCCGACGCGCACTCACCTGGCTTTGGCTTAGGCCTCACGTTTTCAGCATCATCTCCGTTGATAGTTACGGTCACAATGTGTGTGGTACAGCTTGTCAAGCCGGGATCCATACATACAGCTACGGAGAGAAGCAATCAATCACCTTCAAGGACACCAGTCAGATTCGATGGGTTTCGTTACTCAGATGCCTTCGGAAGGAAACTGGGCTCAGGACTCACAGTGCACACAGAGCCCGGGCAGGAAACTATGCTTGGCCTGATTCGCTCAGCATACGCTGGAGGACGGCACAGCACACCCATTTCCCCCCAGAGTTCCTGGGTTAAGCGCGCTAAGTCTGGGGGGAGACAGTACTGATGTTGTCAGATCCTTTCACCACTTTGAGAAGAAAAATCTAGTGAGGAGGCACGTGGAGGAGGGAAGTCAGAAAGCTTAGGATCTGGCAAACTGTGGAAGGTAAGCCAATCTGCCATCTCTTCTCCAGCTTCAGGGCCTCGTGCGGAGGGGAGGCTCACGTGTACACAGGGACTGAACCTAGTTAGGATTTCTCCCCCGGGAATTAGCCTCGGCGAAATATCCCTTACACCGAGAACAGTGTACTGGTTGGTGAACCGTCAAGGGTCTGTCCCCAAGTACACGCCTGGAGAGCAGTACAAACCTGGAGAGCACTCTGCAACGTCACCTTTGTAGCCAGTTTCTTCCTCGAGTTCCCGAAGAGCTGCTGCTTCCGGGCTCTCGTTTTCATCAATGAGACCTGCAAGTCCAAACTGTTTGTGAGGCGAGAAGGAAATCCTCTCCTTCTGATACTATTGCTGCTGAGCTACGTGAGACGGACCAGAGGACTGTGAAAACTGGTGGTATGGGTCAGACTGACTGAGGCTTGGAGCTCTCCAAAGAGAAAAGGCAGGGGAGCCTGGGTGGCTCAGTAGGTTGAGCATCCGACTCTTGATTTCAGGTCAGGTCATGAGATCGAGCCCTGCACTGCGCTCAGCACTGGGCGTGGAGCCTGCTTGGGATTCTCTCTCTCTCTCTCTCTCTCTCTCTCTCTCTCTCCCTCTGCCCTTCCCCTGCTCACACACTCACCCTGTCTCTCAAAAAAAAAAAAAAAAAGGCAAAAGAATAACACCCCAGGCAGAGTAAGGAGGTCCTGACAGCTGCCATCTGTTCCTCTTACTCAGACCCCGGCTGTACCCGCAGGTTTCTCAGCAGCACAGAAAGCACTGACCCGTGTGGACTGCTAACTGGCTTGGCGCCGACGGCCCGATGGCCCAGCTTACGGACCCGGCTGTGTGGCACGGCCCAGGAAGCCTGTCACTCTTTTCAGGTTCCCCGTGTGACCCTGTCACCTATCTTGCTTTCCTCCCTCGCAGAGCGATACTGAGTCCGTAAAGAAATGCCAGGATGAGTAAGACCTGCGAGGGAGGAAGGGAGGCTGGCGGACTCGAGACACGGGCAGTGCTCGCAGCGAGCACTAACCAGGGAAGCTGAGTGCGGAGGACCGTAGAACGCAGATTATTTCACCCGAAAAGGAAATGATGCAAAGAAAAAAGTGAAACGCAGGCTATTTAGTTACTTTTAAAGTTCTTAATTTCTTCAGTGAAATGGCAGGTACACGAGAAAAGAAAAAGTTGTGACGCATTTTCGTGGGCTAGAATTTCAGCACAAAACGTACCCCACCGAGTGAGTGAGATCTAATCTCTTCAGACGCGAAGAGCCCAGTTAGGTGCTCTGATGACACAGTGCCCCACACTCTGGAAAGCTCTACTTTCTGTGCAACTCAAGAGAATATTCTAGTGGAATTTAAGGCAGTTTCCCCACCTGCCTACATACAGGAAGACCAAAATGTCTTTTCCAGTCATAGGTTTTGGAGTTAAGAGTCTGGCCTAGTTATTACTGTGAGTTTCTTGTCAGAAGCAGGCTGCTAGTGATAGAAAATGAACTCACTTGGCAAATGAGGGAAGAGCAATTCCTCAAAGAGAAGCCAGAGAAAATATTGCTGAGAGGTCGGTGGCCTGGGACCACACCCTCGCCTCCCCTCAGGGGGTTAGCGCATCCAAGAGTGCATTTGAGGGATGCATTTTTTTATTAACATAAACCACCCAGAATAGATAAGAAGGTGTCACGTGTCCAAGCGCTGGCCTTCTAGGTGTTCCAGGTGCTGGGCCCAGCGGTCAAGGACTCACCTGCGGGGAATTCCAGGCAGTAGCCTCCCATGGGCGGTCGGAACTGCTTCACCAGAACGATGCACTCATAATGCAGCGTCCGCTGCAGCACTGGGATGACCGCCACACCTGGGACCAGGAGAGAAAACCAAGGAAGCCCCTCATGAAATCAGGGAGAACTTAGTACGGGGTCAAGGACAGAATTCCCACCTACGCGGACCTCTGCAGAGACCCAGTTCTCAGCCTGCAGCAGCCAGACCGTTGGTGAGGTTATACTGGTCTATGTGCGCTTGTATTTCCTTCAAGCGATAAATCGAGTCAGTCCCAGTGTCTGTAGCAGATGCTGACTAAATTAGAGTCTATTGTTTTAGGATAAAGGACCTTTTCTCCCAAGGAGTATTTTACTTGGCCTTCTGAGAGAACACAGACAAAACCCCAGTGCATTCTGGAAAACAAAAACTACCTACAAGGAGTTCTGGGCTCCCTCCCTCCCCCCAGCTCTCGGGGCAGACAAAGACAGGGACAAAAACAGCAGCCATTGCAGCTACTCTGTTCATTTCCAGGACAGAGACACAGAAGGGCACGTGAACTGAACGGACGGTCTCTTCTCCTAATTCCATGCCCTCGTCAATTTATAAACCAACTGGTTCATCATCAAGTAGTTCCAAATAGTTTTCCAAACTAAAGGCTCTCACCTAGGTCCTTTGAAGAGAACTCAGAGGATTTCTAGAAGTCCTATCTAGACACGGCATGTGGCTTCACATTATATGGACTTCTGTTTGACTATAAATATTAGTTATACTTTCCCCTCAAAACCACTGGGACGGGGCCCAGATAACAGGGGCCAGAAGTTATTTACAGAGAAAGACTGATTTAGTCACAAAGCACTGCAAAAAGGAACACCAGACTTAAACATAACAGATCATAATCGAAGAGAGCTGCTCTGAGGGCTGGGCTAAAGTAAAGAGAACCCCGCCTCCTGCCGTAAAGCATGGTGACTTCCTCCATGAAGAGTTGTAAGGGGTTTGTGCTCCTACCATCGGCCGACTGCCCCTTCCTGGTCGTACGTTTCACTGTTTCCCACGTTCTGTTCAGGCAGAGAAGCAAAAACAAAATCACTAGTGTCACAGAGGAGAACACCCTTGGGTTTTTAGTCCACAACCAGAACTTTACAAATGTGAAGCATGCAAGTGTGATAATGATGATGGCCAAGGAGACCACAACAATACAGATCCATAAGGGAAAAGCCAATTAATCGTGCTTTCCTGTAGCTTCTGAAACTTTTTCCAAAGAACATGAGCCACCTTACATCTGATCCTCTGAATGGTATCTAAACAGAAGGCCTACTGGTCGCTTAAGCTGTCTTTCAAATTGTTCATTGGGAAGATTTCAGTTTGGATCATAAATCTACAGGTTAGGAGTAAATGAAGCTATTGAGCAGTCTGTGCAAATTAAGCTCCTAGGAGAATTTCCAGCTTTTTTGCTAAGAGTGAATGATACTCTGCAGAATGCGAACCACTGAGACAGTTATTTATGTATAACCTAAAATATAACAGTCTTAGAAAGCAGGGTCATGCCATTTACTAATTGAGGAATTCTTACATTTAGGCGAGTGCTCTATTTTTTATGTTTGTGATCGCTCTCATCTAAGGGAAAAAAGTGAGATGAGGAATGGTAAGTTCCTGCTCCCTTTTATGGCTTTATTCCTTCCTGATGGGCTATTTGTTTTTTGGAGAACACGTCCTGAGAATCCCCTTACTGGTACAATGGTGTTTGAAGGGGAAGGACATATGAAGGGAAGTCCCCTTCACTCTTATCCCTTAAACCGGAAAGAAGTAGTGGAAAGCAATGGGAGTGAAGAAGCAAATCAACTTTGGACCAAGAGAAATAAGACGTCTGAGTGGCTCTGGGGACCGGGGTAAGGAAGGTGTCAACATCTGCCTCCCTCAGGAAGAGCAGGTATGATGAGACGGACCGCCCAGAGGAGCCTCACACTTTTTAAATGGCTGTGCTTAAGGCCGGGACTGTGTCACATTTTCTATTTCTTAGTCACATTTCTATAAATCCAGATACTTAGTCTAGTTTAAAAAAAAAACACCTTTCTGTAAACTGTAGATCTCTTGGTATTATACCCAGATTCGAACAGCGAATGTGTCAAAATGAGCCTATGAAAACCACACACTGCTGTGACGACTCATAACCGCCCAACATTCCTGTTAGTAACAAGAAGCCAACCAACAAGCAATTCTGATAAAATAGTACAGATGGCAAGAGAGGAGACACCTTTTCAGCTCTCTCTGCCGCCCCTTAGGGTTAGTCCTAAGACTGCAGAAGGTAGTGCTGGGAGGGGCCGTGAAGGGGCCGTCCCAAATACACCTGGGACAAGAGGAACAGAGAGTAGCGTCATTATAGTGGTTAAGATGATGTAAAATAACCGGTAACGAGCCGTGCATCATGAGCAATGAAACATAAATCCATTTATACAGGATCCTGGAATCGGGACGCCCCATGGGAGCTCCAGTCATCTTCAAGGGACTCTGAGAGATGAGCATTTGACTGAGTTAGGCAATCTCAGGCCCTACCTGCCCACCAGCTAAGCCCACAGCCACACATCACGTGAGACCATTCCCTCAGGTGTGAAACTAGGGAATTAAGAGTATGTTAGCTCAAAAGCCTCTCGTGGCTTTAGAATTCTGATTCTAGTTAAGTCACTCCATTTTCTGAGTAACTGCCATAGGAGAAAGCTTGTTTTGTGTTCTTCCCCCGGTCCACAAACACAAGAGGCAGGAAGGGCACAAAGGTGACTTCAGCTCTGCCCCTGTATCCTTCAGGGGGCATACTGCCAGTGTGTTTTTACACTCCTGAATTCAGCTCCGTGTCCTTATCCACGAATAACATGGAAGAACAAAGGATTTCTAGCTGCTACTTCATCCTTACCGACATGCTTTTGTATCAGTGTATATGAGTCATGACCTACGTTAAAGTACAGGATTCTCTCTTCAAAGCCCGACACTCTGGTATGAAGGAAATGTCAGTGCTTTACCCAAGAGCTCAAGGAAGACCTACACGTGCAAGAACGGAGGTGAACATGCTATCAACAGGCCACAGAAGCAGGTACTTGGTAGGCAGGCGTTAGAGTGCACGCCTCAGCTACTCAAACAGCCTCCCCGGAACTGAGACCTGGACACGAGTATCCCGAAAAGAGTCTCCACGTGATTCGGATGCACGTCCCTGATTAAGAAACGCTGAAGGAGGAAGAGGAGTCCAGTGAAGAAAGGAGATGGGGCAAATGCACACGCATTCTTTAGATTAATCCGTCTTAATATGATTAAGAGTCATATTTGTGTTACAAACTCCACAGTTGAAAGAGAGCCAAACTGTATCATTACAAACTGGGTTCCAACCCGTCTATGTTTTCACAAGTATCAGTTGGTTTGAACATACTGTGTTCCTTAGGCTCGGGCCCGGCCACATTTCTGTGCTGTATCCCTGCTCCTGCTGTTCATTCCCTATTTAGTCCTGCACATCAGGGTCTCTTTAAACAAGTGTTCTGCTGAACGCTTCCCCTGTGCTGATGGGTGGTAGCGCACTTGGCTTTCTTACTTTGAGGTTTTAACTTAATGGTGGTCTGGATAGCTTAATGTTTCCCACAGCCCTCCAATACCGCCCTTTGGAGTATTTTTGCTCGTTTAGTAGATATAATTAAAGTGGTTTCAATTACTGGTAAGCCCATGTACTCTCACACTGATGACAGAAGTATTTCCTCACAAAGAAAGTCTACATTCTTACTTGATTCCTTAGCACATGGGAGTTTTTTTCTGAAATGAATTTATATCATGTAATCTGCATACTTTTAAATTTAGTCTTATTTTTGTATTTTCTCATTCTATTTCATTCCTTTTTATATTTCACTAGGGAAATGTTTAACACTTTTCTCTGATAATTTTAATATAAAAAATTTCTCTTCAGAGCAGGGTGAAAGAAGCTAAAAAAATTCTAAACAGAAAATTTGGAAAACAGAAGAAAAAAGGTTTACCACACGGCTGCCATTAATGTTTCGCCAATTTTCCTCCTAATCTTTTCTTATATATTATTTGGAAAGAATTTAAAAAGCATACACACAATTTCCTACTTTATTATCAACTTAATAACTTTTCTCAACTTGCTAGATTGTCTTCAGAATCTGCTCTGTAGATAACTGCATATACTCTAACAAATGAATACACTGAAAAGTTATTTCCCCGTTTTTAAACTGCGAATTGACATACAATATTGTATGTGAGGTGTAGAACACAGTTACTCAATAATTATATACATTACAAAATGGTGACCACAATAAGGGTAGTAACCATGTGTCACCCTGCAAAGCTGTTATAGTATTATAGATTATACGTCCTTATACTGTATGTATTTTTATTATGCTACACTAGAACAATTATTTCCCAAGCTTTAAGATGGTTAGGGTGCTTTCGGTTTGTTTTAATTTTTTTAAATTTTGTGAACACTGGGTGCTTTCAATTTGGCTTTGTTTTTTTAAATTTTGTGAACATTTTTCATGCATTAAATGACCCCAGACAGTCTCAGGAGTGAGATTACTGGGGTTGAAGGGTGTTAAATCTTTATGGGCAGTTGGTACATACTGTGAAATGCTTTGCAAAACTTTTTTTTTCTTTTTTCTTTTACAATTTACATTTCCATGAGCAAGGTGTAAAGCATGTAAGTTTTACCTCAAACCCAGCAATGTTCTCTCCTTCCTCCTTCTAATTTAGAAATTAAAACCTGGTCGGGCTCTGTGCAGACAGCTCAAAGCCTGGAGCCTGCTTCAGATTCTGTGTCTCCCTCTCTCTCTGACCCTCCCCTGCTCATGCTCTCTCTCTTTCACTCCCAGAAATAAACAAAACATTAAAAACAATTAAAAGAAAAAAAACCCCTGGTGTGGCTCAGAGGAGGAAATGTGGATTGTTAATTACTCTGCTGCTTTATCAGCTTCAGTTAGGGCTTGGCCCAAATTTCTGGTTCATTCTAATCTAATCTACTCAGGGCGAATGGTGTTAAAATCAATTCCTGATTACTTAATGTAACAAATTTACAATGTAATTGTATTCAGCGATTAGAAGTAACCCAAACATTCTGACAGTGGGAAAATACGGATTTTTCATTTAAGGCCGAGTTTACAATGAAAAAAGTATCAGTTTATGCCAGACACTAAGTGGAGACCCCAAGAACCCAAATACTGAGCATTTTACAAAAGGGAAAAAAAACCATTTACCTTATTTTACCAGTAGGATCCATGTACGTCGTTTTTTCAAGCTTGACCCATTTTCCTTCTGAAATTAACTAAAAGGAGACAGTAAGTTGGGAGGCTTTTAAACCGAGGATTTTATTTAGAAGGTGTTTTCTTTCAGATTTTCTCTGTGTGGCCCTCCCGGGGATCACGTTTCCCTCCCAATAATTAGTGCAGGTTTTCAGTTCAAAGTTTGGGAAGTTGTCTTCCTGAAGGGTGGTTCTGCTGCTTTTTGGGGTTTTGGAAGTAATACTGAGAGGTGGAAAGAAATGATAGTTGAAACACTCCTGGGTGGGGGTGGGGGGGGCAGACAGGGAGGACGGAGGAGTGAGGGGTTTTCTGGGACCCAGTGATCTATCCCCTGAGCCCGTTGCTTGTCACACAGGTGTGTTCAGTAGGTAGCAAGCCATCAGTAGCGGTTTACAATCAGTGACGACAGGGAAGGCTGTCTGAGGAGACCACGTCCGATGACTGCAGTGGCACGTGCGCTTCCCACCCAACCTGAGACAGGCAGCCCGAGTCGTTCTGCCTGGACACCGCGTTTTGAGTTTCAGTTACGAGGACTAACTTACTGCCGGCACTACCCTCAACTGAGAGGGGAGGGTCCCTGCAGGCAGAAAGCAACGCGTCCTCCTTACTATCCTATCTGTCACTTCTGGCCAGCAGCAACCTACTGATTATCAGCAGATCTAGTCACAGACAACATGGAAAGATTTTTAAACTATAAACAACCTCAGGAAGGTGTCAAGATCTGAGTTCCAAGATGAAGGACTTAAATTTTATCCACTCCAATGGTTCCTGAGGGAAGAGACTTATTAAAAACTAAACTGCATCACATGTCAGACATACATTAGTTTTGGGATTCAGACTACAACTAACAACTTAGATTTTTACTGTTCTTAAACATACGTACAGAGACCATAAACAGTTTACGAAGATGCAAGACTTAAGTATGAAGTGTCTAAACTCTAAAACTCCCATAGGACTTATTCTTCTACCCGGGAAAACCTTTTTAAAATTTGAGAATTTTTATACAAACAGCCACAATCCACTTTAAAACAGTCTTGATTTCACTAGTGCATATAATTAAGAGATACAGTCTTGCTCCCATACGAGAGCAAAATGCGCCTGAGTCCTAAAACGGGAGCAGAACACTGCTCAAAATCGGTCTTTAAGAATTAAATGCAATCGTTTGAAATGATAGTCTACACATTTCATTTGGACTCAGCTCTGTGTGGGGAGAGAGCAGGGTAGTGAAAAACAATTTATACCTCCTCTGAAATAATAGACTGTTTGGTATTTCGAGAAGGATCTCCTGGCTCTTGGTTTTCCATTTTCAAACCGGTCAGTCTTTAGTCCTCAGGTAAGACGTTCACGCTGTAAGATAGTAAGATTTGTTTAGGCTACATTTATTTTTCTGAATGCAACATCTCAACAGAGGCTGCTTGTCAAAGTACTTAAAATGGTTAAAGACTTATCTGTCATCAAGGCTGCTTTGCTTGCGTGAGCCTGGGAGGACTGACCCAGACGGCGGGTCAGTGCAGAGGCCCCAGGATATATGCGGGAAAGAACCGGCAGCCGTTCCAGTTAGATTCAGCCCGTGTTGGCTAAGCTCCTCCGGGGCCGGCACCAGGCACTGACACTTCCATTCTTGCATTTTCTGACTCCAAATTTAAAAACTTTCCAAGGGAAACAGTACAAAAGTTGTATACCATTCCCCATTCCCACCCCTTAACCACTGTCCCTTATCTACCCTTTACAGCTCAACTGTAAGAGCTGTAGGGGCTTTTTCTGGCTCCCATAAATATATATATATATATTTAAAACTGGTAGTAAATGGATATACCATTTTGATAATTTCAAAATGTGCAGTTCAGGAGAATGAAACACAATCCCATTGTTGTGGCCTGTTCACTTTGAAGTTTTAACACGTATCACAGTCATGGTTGTCCATGAGTTGCCAAGTATCACCACGTCCGTGGTGGAAAGAAAAGGCTCATCTCTTGTTATCCGCTACTACATCCTCTGTTCTTGGCTTATTCTCCCACAATGTCTAAAGATCTTTTTCTGCCCTTGAAATGGACTGAATAACCTGGATGCATACAGAATTATGGGCTGAAAATAACTTTCTATCAGAAATATGAGGGCACAACTCAGTTGTCTTGCTTCTGGTGCTGCCGTTGTGAAATCTGAAGTCATTCTGATTCCTGACCCTTTTTCTACAGGGCCAGTTTTCTTTCTCTGGAAATCTGTAGTTATTCTTGTCTTCACGTAGTTGTTACAATATTATTAACTTTATTCCTATGCTGTACATTACATCCCTCTGTCTTATTTATAACTGAAATTTGTACCTGTTAATCCCCTTCTCTTATTTTGTCAAGTGGGTCCTTTTAATCTGGAAACCATACTGTGCTTCTTTATGGGGAACTTTTCTTGAATTATTTCACTGGTAATCTCCTTATTTTCTCTGTTCTTTGTTTCAGAAACTGACCTAACTGTTGGACTTCCTAAGCTGATCTTCTGTCTTGCCTTTTTCATTTCTATTTTCTGTTTTCTTATCATCTTTAAAAAATTATTATTTTTATTTTTGAGACAGAGAGAAAGCACAAGCAGGGTAGAGGGCAGAGGGAAACAAAGAGAGAGAGACTCTTTAACAGGCTCCATGGTTATCTAGATGGTGTGGGTACTGGCATAAGGATAGACATATAAACTGATGGAAAAGAGACTCCAGAATTAAACCCATGGGTTTATAGTCAGTTGATTTTTTTTTTTTTTTTGAGAGAGAGAGACTGAGAGGGAGAGAGCAGAGGAGGGGGCAGAGGGAGAAAGACTCTTAAGCAGGCTCCATTATCAGTGTGGAATCTGATGTGGGACTCGATCCACGACCGAAGGATCATGACCCAACTAAAATCAAGAGTTGGATGCTCAACTGACTGAGCCACCCAGGTGATCCTGCTCATCCAATTTTCAACAAAAGTGCCAAGTGTTCCAAGGGGATAAAAAATAGACTTTTCAAGAGATTGTTCTGGGCCTAGATCCATACATTCACAAGGACAAAAATGAACCTCTGCCTAACACCATATATAAAAATTAACTCAAAATAGATCAGAGATCTAATGTAAGAGCTAAAACTACAAAACTCTTAGAAAAAAAATAAGTGTGTATCTTCATGATCCTGGGTTAGGCAATAATCTCTTAGATGCGACACATAAAGTACAGAATCAAAGAAAATAGAAATAACTTGCACTTCATCAAAATTAAAAACTTGTGTGTTTCAAAGGATACCATCAAGACAGTAAAAAACTACTTACAAAATGGGAAAAAAATGTACAAATCTGATAGAACTATATCTGAAATCTGCAAAAAACCCCTTAAAGCCCAATATTGAAAAGACAAATAACAATTAAAAATAGGCAAAGGACTTTCAAAGAAGATATACAATGGCCAATCAGCACATGAAAATATGTCCAGTGTTGTTAGCTATCAGAAAAAGGCAAGACAGGGGTGCCTGGGTGGCTGTCAGTTGAGCGTCTGACTTCAGCTCAGGTCATGATCTCGCGGTTCGTGGATTGAATCCTGTGTTGGGCTCTGTGCCGACAGCTCAGAGCCTGGAGCCTGTTTCAGGTTCTGTATCTCCTCCTCTCTGACCGTCCCTTGCTCACGCTGTCTCTCTTGCTCTCTCAGAAATAAAGAAAAAACATTAAAAAAAATTTTTTTTAAAAAAAGGTAAGTCAAAACCACAATGATACCACACTTCACCCCTACTTTGATGACTATAATAAAAAACAGATGATAACAAGTGTTGGTGAGGAGGTGGAGAAACTGGTGTACACTGCCGGAAGGCATATAAAATGGTGCAGTCACTTTGGAAAACGATCCTCAAAAGGTTAACCATAAAGTTCCCATATATGACCTAGTAATTTCACTCCAAGAGAAATAAAAGCAGTATCATTTGTAACAGCCCCAGAGTGGAAACAAGCCAGACATCTATCATTTGATGAATGGATACATAAAATGTGGTATTCCATTCAGTGGAATAATATTCATCCATAAAAAAGAATGAAATACTAGGGCGGCCCAGATGGTTAAAAAGCACCTGGCTTCAGCTCAGATCAAGATCTCAGTTTGTGAATTCAGGCCCCGCCTCAGGGTCTTCACTGACCTTGCCTAACCTCCTTGGGATTCTCTCTCTCCCCTCCCCCACCCTCGTGTGCTCTCAAAATAAAACTAAAAAAAAAAAAAGGCAACGAAGTACTGATACATGCTTCAACATTGATGAACCTTGAAAACCTGATCCCAAGTGTGAGAAGCCACACACAGGAGGCCAAACATTGTACGATTCCATTTATATGAAATATCCATATAGCAAATCCAGAGACCAAGAAAGCAGATTTGTGGTTGCCAAGACGCTGGGGGGAAGGAGAGAATAGGGAGTGACTGCTTATGGGTATGGGGTTTCTTTTTGATGAAAAATGTTCTAGAATTAAACAGTGGTGATGGTGGCACCATTTTGCGAATATACTAAAAACCAGGGATTTTTACAATTTAAGAAAGCGAATTTCACGGTATGTGAATTGCATTTCAATTAACAAAACAATCACCTTTGCAGTTTTAAAATCCCCAAGAGACAAAGAGTTGGCTTGCTGAAAGCCACGTTAAATTTAAAGGTTGACAAAGCCTGGGAGACAAGTCAAGGAGCTCGGCGTTACAAGTAACCATTTTACTGTCCTCTGGATGTATATTTTGCCCAATACTCAACACATTTTTCTGTTTAAAATTAAGCGTATTTCTGTTGTGTTATTAAGGGGTGATCAACGCTGGTGCTGTGGATTATTATGTGTGCAAGCCTAGGATTTCAATTTCCAATAAGGACTTTGGCAAAGAAGCAAAATTGAGGCCCTAGGTAAGAAAAAAAATGATTTCATGCTGAAGAAATAAAAGCCACTCAATGAAGATGAGAGAAAGAAATGTTGATACATTTTCACACTAAAGAAGAAACTTGAAGAAATACTCACAAACTGTATTAATGTTTGTAAAAAACCAAACAAACATCAACTGTGTATCTTGGGTAACTCGGCTCACACAGCCAACGGCAGACGCAGTAAAAGGCAGGCAGTCTCCTGGATGCTAGGGCTACAGCGGTGTACACAACAGACAAAGGTCCTGTCCTCCACACACTTACTTTCTGGTGGGGAAGGAAGGGAGAAAATTGAGAACAATATACATAATTTATGTCGGAGGCAACACGTTTTCCAGAGGAAGATTAGGAAGAATAAGAGTGGAGAAGGTGGGGTGTGTGTCGAGTGGTCAAGAAAACCCCTTTTTGGGGCACCTGGGTGGCTCAGTTGGTTAAGTGTCCGACTTCAGCTCAGGTCATGAGCTCACCATTTGTGAGCTTGAGCCCCAAATCGGGCTCTGTGCTGACAGCTCAGAGTCTGGAGCCTGCTTCGGATTCTGTGTCTCCCTCTCTCTGTCCCTCCCCTGCTTGTGCTGACTCTGTCTCTCAAAAGTAAATAAACGTTGGAAAAAAATTAAAAAAAAAAAAAAGCAAGCAAGCAAGCCCCCTTTAATTTTGTGACATTTGAAGAGAGGCTTGAAAGTCATACAACAGTAAACTATGTGGATGTAGAGACAGTCATTTAGTTCTATGCAAACTGCATAAGAAAACCGGCAGTGACTTCTGGTTAACTTTTAACTAGCTTTGGTTTATATATGACAGATAACCTACATTGTTCAAGGCAATCAAAGCAGCATGAAAACTAACCATATGTTAAATCGAAGGTTGGCTACTGGTCAATGTTTGTGGTTTCTACACCTGGAAGTTCTTTGTCTACCTACATTTTTATCTTCCAGATTTCCATTCCTTTTTATTAGTAACATATACATCGGAGGATTATTTCCTCTGCTTTTAATTCTAACACTTAAAAGAAAGTAACTTTTAGGCAACTACGCAACCCCATTTATTGCACAATGTACGTAATCTGTCTGGAACGGGGCAAAATGCCTGGATTAATTTTCTACCTTCTTTTGAAAAAAAATTTTTTTTTTAATGTTTATTCGTCTTTTAGAGACAGAGACTGAATATGAGCAAGGGAGGGGCTGAGAGAGGGACACACAGAAGCCGAAGCAGGTCCAGGCTCCTAGCTGTCAGCACAGAGACTGATGCGGGGCTCAAACCCGCAACCGTGTTATCATGACCTGAGCAGAACCTGGAGGCTCAACTGACTGAGCCACCCAGGTGCCCCTCTACCTCTTTTTGAAAACTGGCATTTTGGTAACTTTTCTGTGCTTATCCAAACGTCTTAAAAACAGGTAACTGCAGGCCTCAAAAGTATAAACACCACCAAAAGTTCGTAAAGGAAGAGCTAGATAATCTGTAACTTTTTCTATGGAAAGGGTTCTTAACTGGATTTCCAGTAAATCTGCACAAAATGAAGCTCCCCACCCCCAGGTGAGGATCTTTAAGGGCAGAAGGGCCACCAGCTCCTTTAAATTATCTGTGTGTCTCCTTATCTTTGTATCTTGATAGCTTCTCTCAGATTGTCAAAGGGATTGTAGATGGCCAAAATGTGGAAAAAGTTTTTTTTAGAGAGAGAGCGTGAGCAGGGGAGGGTCAGAGACAGAGGGAGACACAGAATCTGAAGCAGGCTCCAGGCTCTGAGCTAGATGTCAGCACAGAGCCCAACGTGGGGCTTGAACCCACAAACCGTGAGATCATGACCTGAGCCGAAGTTGGATGCTCAACCAACTGAGCCACCCAGGTGCCCCGAAAAAGTACTTTTCTAAAGGACTCTTTTTCATCTACTCTTCATTTAACCATGTTAGTTAAAATCCCTTATGAAACGTTCTCCTGTAATCAAAAGCTGGATTTTTGGTCAGCAAATGTTAAGCTCTAAACAGTTGTTTCAACAGATCATATTTAAAAATATTGAAGCTAGAATGTTAGAGAGCTAGAAAAACAAAAAAACAAGCTATGGACATAAAAATTCCTAAAAGAAAAAAAGTGGCAAACAGGGCTGAACCTCTCCAGGGTAATTACTTGGAATGCAATTAGCCCCAAGGGGCAACAGTATTTTGTAGCAATCTGCTGACAGCGTAAATAACCAAAAAAAAAAAAAAAAAAAAAAAAAAAAAAAAAAAAAAAAAAAAAAAAAAAAGGTTACAGGGTGATTTCCAAAGTATATTCTTTGCCCTGTGATTCCCAAAATGTTCAGGATAATAAAAGCATCTCAAAAATACTACTGGAACAGAAAAGGAATATTATTTTTGCACCATTTCAAAAACAGAAACTCAATGGTGCCATTTGGGGACTAGTCACTACACGTAGGCAGTACAGAAACAAATGAGGCTCCAACGCAAGCTGCACCCCCCTTACTGTGATAGAGCTTTCCCTAATTGACTCAATGCTATTTTGAGATTTAAAAGTAAAGTGTACATTTTCTCCACTTCATTAGCTAGCATTTCAAATCACCTATGTTTTGCTAATATGCACGTTAGACTTTCTGTTGAGTTCTGTTTTAATTCACAGGATGCATTTTCACTTAGTTTGGTCTGAAACACTGAATGTTTCTGATGTGTTAGCTGTATGATTTTTCCAGGGCACAAACAACCCTAGTGAGGGAAAACATCACAGGATTGTTAGAGTGCCACACAGTGGCAGGCAGGAGGCTAGCTGGCTTTCTGAGCATGGGCAGTTCAAACGTTTGGGTTTGTATATACTAAGTATAAACTGAGCCATATTCCTGCCCTTGGGGACATCATAGTTCAAACTGCAAAGAACCAGAGAGTAAATGCCTATCATAGAGATAATGCAACATCAGGGTGTTTTAAGTGAGTGACAAATCATATCCACTTGGGAGGCAGGGAACATAGCAGACCTTGAAAAGGCTACTACTAAGAGGCCGTATGATATTATGATTTAGATACCAAGAAGGCAGGGAGAGAATTTGAAGTAGAAGGAACCAGCTAAAAAAACAGAGACACTAATGGGGGAAGGGTTGAGAAATTATAGTAGTGTTGGGCAAACTCTGTTGTTTTCAACCTTTCCCTCCCACCCCCTCCAAAAAAAAAAAAAAATCCGGAAACAAAGCCCATGCATATTATAGATGATGTTAACATTTGCAAACACATATCCTAGGGCTTACACAGATGTGGCTCAACGTCTGACCCCTCCCCCAAATTTGCAGGTAACCCTGACTGACCTGCCACAACCCTGACTGTTGCTAGGTAAGCTCCTCTTGGGAACAGCACTTAAAATTTTCTGAAGGGAGGAAGAGAAAGGATTACTTTTTCCCAATTTTAGGTATTTCAGTCTTAGTAATGAGCTGGATTCAGGTTAAGAGGGAGAGGAGTTTGCACTCAGGTTTGTCATTACTCAGTTATTACCATATTGGCATTCCTGCATTTTGCTGAGGTTGCAAAGTGAAGCAAAAATCACAGGAAATAACACCATGGCTACTCTCTCTCAGGTACAAATTGAGTACTGGAAATACCATTTATGCTCAACAAAATAAAAGGTGTGGAAACTCAAATCATAAGCAAAGCTTCTGATGGACCAAGGTCAGGCAGACGGAACAGTTTAATGATTGGATTGAGAAATTTACAATAAGGCATTTTGAAAGAAATTAAGTGGGAGAGGATTAATTTTTGCAAAAATAACTTTATGATCTTGTAAAGTTAAGCATCAAATGCTTGGGCCTGTCCAAGATGCCATTAACATTCTTTCAGAATAATTACACAGAAAAAATCACTTGATTTACAATGAGCAACGATTCAGTTAGTATGGGTACATTTAACAGTCTTGCTTATAGTCATAAAACTTTTAAACCTTTAGTTTCTTTTAAAGATAATATTTTGATCGGTCCTTCTTTGGTACTGCTCATGGTAAAATGTTCGTATCCACATCAAAAGGATCCACTTAACGTGAACTTTCCTTTGCTGACAAAGATGATCCTCTGATAATGAAGACTTCCTGTAGTTAATTTGTCAATTATGGAAAGCCACGGAGTTTCTTTTCTTTTCCTTTCGGACAGAAGTGGGGGTTGGGCGGGGAAGAGCGGTAACTAACATTTTACTGAAATTATGCTACTCGGGTGATTTATAATCATCACATTTACTTCTGGCTGGGAACTAAATACCCTTGGGAAGGTTAATTGGTTACAGCTCTATAGTAATAAGACCAGTAAAGAAGCTCCGGCAAGAGAGGATGTAGGTTTGGTATAGAGTGACAGCAGTGGCCAGGAAGCTTGCATGAGACTTTATTGTTCTAAATCAGTGTCTAGGACAGGGTTTCCACAGCTACTTCCAAGATGTCAGCGTTCAAACATGGTTACACTGAGTTTGAGATAGCAGCGAGATATCCAAGTGGGTAAAACCAGCAGGTAAATGAAAGTTTTAATTTAGAAGATAAGTCATATAGTGGGATTCAAGGAAGCAAAGAAACGTTTTTTCATAATTTAGAACTGTGCAAAAAAAAAACTTCCCCCCACAATCACTTAACTACTGATATTTTTAAGGCATGCATGAGAAAAAGCAACTATTTCAACTGTTGTAAAGGTTTTATTGAAGAAACTGGAGTATAAACACTTGATGGCTAAGTGAAGAAAAGACAAATATGGTGGCTAAGAAAATAATCGAAGGGAATTTAGCTGTATCCATTTAGAATAGTGGTGCATCTGGCAGTAATGCTGACTTATTCGAGGCTGGTGAAATGTGTAATTAGTTACTTAAAATCAACTGTAATACTAAAAAGTCACTGAACACGCTTCTAAAGTATATAGCCTGACTAAAAGACATCTGTGAAAAATTCCTTCCCAGCAGTTTATATTCAAGTTTACAAATTTGGCTGCTTCGCTGCAAATAACTGCAGTTCTGTATTAATGCTTTGCAGCTGCCTCAACCTCTACACTCAGGTTTCCTGGGCTGTTAACATAGGACTCTTCCAGAATGACTGTGTTCCCAGTTTCCAGTTCCACCTACACATCTATTGATTATCTTCAACAGAAAATACCTTACTCCAATTCACCCCAGCACTACTAACATTTCCTTCAGTAGGAACCTGTTTATTTCTAGATCAAATCAAAACAAACATTTAGAGTGATTGCTCCAACCCCCCCCTCCTACCTCCCACATTAGGTCTCTCTTAAATCTGGCAGTCTGGCAGCGTATGGAGCATTGCTTCATTTCCCCTCAAAACAGAAAGGACTGCATAATCCTGGCTCTCAAAACACTTCATGAAAAGCTACTGCCGCCCCTCCCCCAGAATATACTGTAATTTACCTCTACTGGGAAAAATGTATCTTTAAAAGCGATGCTCCCAACTAAACCACTTAGCCAGTAACATTTTTGAGAAAAACAAAACATCGAACTCTTCCGGGGAAAAGCTTTTCACTCCAAACAGACAGAGAATCCTGTAATTCTCCTAATGAATACTTTCCTGAAGAGGCCTGTAGTTGACGGGCTTCCTACCTTCTGATACAAAACTGCTTACACCAGACTGTGTAGTTTTTTAAAAAAGATTTAATTTCTACACCCAACGTGGGGCCTGAACTCACGACCTGGAGATCACCTGAAGAGTGTGCAATTTTAAGGAGATACCTAAAATATGCGCCCTGAGACAGACGTGACTGCGGCAAGTCTAAGGCATGTTACTGTAAGGAGGCGAGGTTTTAAAAGTCATTTCTCAGCAACTAGAAACTGATTCTTTTGAAAAACAAACAGAAGTGTACTTTTAAAATATTCTGTTATCTGGTAGCCAACTGATAACGTCATTACGAAAGAGATACGGAAAATAACGGAGTGATGGAGACAAGAGAAGGAAAAAGAATGATACTGCAAATTTCACTAGACCAGAATTCTTCCACTCTTAGGATCCCGGCCCGGCCCGGCCCGGCTACTGATACAATCTGGGTGTATTTTTCCAGGCTGCTCCGTTGGCAGGGCTGGAAGAAATGCATTTCACGCTCAGAGGAGACACGTCTCCCCTCTCGTCGGTGTTCCCAAATTCACCTCTCCTCCTCTACCTTCAAAGCCGCACTCCCCGGGAGCGCACGGCCAGGATTCTCTCCCTGTCCCCTCAGAGGCCCCCTCCACGTACGAAGAGGTGCCGTCAACCCTCTTTGCAGATGCTTCAACCACTGCACTCAAATGAAGTTAACTGCAGTGGTTTCCTGCCTGCCCTTCTCCGAATAGTCCGGGCTCTTCTCCCGCGCTCCCCGGTCTTCTCTAAACTGGCCCTCCTCTCCGCGCCGCCGCAGCGGCCGCCCCCTCGCTTCCCGGGTCGCGCACCCAGCCGGCAGACTGGGACACGCGCGTGCGGCTGCCCGCACGCACCAGATGTGCTCCCTCCCTCGTCCCCAAAGAGGGGCTTGTGCATGACTGGCCCGCGCCCCGTTACCTACTCCAAGGTGTGGGGCGAAGGGGAGGGTACTCCTTTGGGGAGGGGGACGAAAGAAGAAAGCACGAATCCGGGGCAGCAGTCTCAGAAGACACCGGTACTACTGCTGAAGGCAAAGCCGCACCTCGCGGTGATGAGGCTGTGAGCTCGGCCCCTCCCGCTTCCCGTAGAATCCCCGCCCGTGACCTCGCCTGAGAAAGTTACCTTCCGGGGCGGGGCACGCCTTCGAAGCCGCTTCTCAACACTTCCGGAGTTCCTTTCGCGGGACGCGGACGCGTCGCGTGTGCTGGTGCGTGCGGGTGCGAGTGGCCACGGGAGCGACGCCCCGCGATTCTCCTCCGCTCTTTTCTGCTACTGCCTCCTGGCTCGATAGACCGGAAGAGTCCTTGAGCCAAAAGAGCTCGGCGGGTACTTCCGGGACGGGAGACCTGGGTTCCGGGAGGGTGCTGGAAGAAGAGGGAGAGGCGGCGGCGGCGGCGGCTGGAGGATGAAGAAGGAGCATGTGCTGCACTGTCAGTTCTCCGCGTGGTATCCACTGTTCCGAAGTCTTACCATCAAGAGGTAAGACGGGAGGGGTGACGCCGGGGCGGTAGGCAAAAGGGAACTGCGACATTTGGGGCGAGTCCTAGCTCCATCAGACGAAAAAAACGCAGGCCTTCAAGCGACTGGATGGGAGCGCCGGTGCCCAGATTTCGACTTCCTAGTCCAGTTTCAGGCGGGGAGAGTAATGAAGTCGGTGCATGTTTGCAAAGCGTCGTGTTGCGTTCAGGGAGTGTGCTGGAGGGAGCGGGGTAGAAGGGCCGGTCATGGTTCATTGAAGGTCAGATGGTGGGGGGACAAGTCGATGAAGCCGGTTCAGGTTTGGAAGTTTACCGTCACTGCTTTTACAACTGCCAGAGAGGGGAAGTGATCAGAACTGGGGAGTCTGGACTTTGCCACTGACTAACCCGCCGGGGGCTTCATTGCTTTCAGTCGCTGTTAAGATGTGAACAGCGATACAGACCCTGCCTGAAATCCCCCTGCGAAGCTCCAGTAAGATAGCGTAACAAGGAAGCATCAGTGTCCTTATATATTTTTAGGGATTGGGATGTACTTTGACAGGAAGCCTTCCCTGGAAAAGGAGTGAAACGGGATTTGTTTTCTAGTTCTCTGACCTACAAAAGGGGACCCATCCCTGGTTTGCAGGGCTAACAGGGGAGTAACTTCTCCCTTCACTGGGTCTTTTAAGGTAATACAGGCAAGGCAGCTGGGAAAATACCCCCAATGTTCAAAAGCAATCATAGCCCCTGTAGAATAATGCGGGAGCAGGCTTTCACTCGCTAAGAGGGATAGATCAAAGAACTGCATATTCATGGACAGGATTTTCTGTATTTTGCCCGCTCCCCCTTTAGGCCTATATTATCACTTATTTAGATACCACGTGTCCTCTGGTCATTTGGTTCTCTTGGTGCATAGTGTGAATACAGAGAGGGAAACGATTTTGAAGTCTTGGGGATTTGGAAGAGCCTTAAGAGATTATTTAGGAGACAGTTCTTTGCCATACTGTTACACATCCGTAGGATCTGTTTCTAGTTGGAGGTTAGAGCAGCTCAAAGGAAGATAGTTCTTGCATTTGAAGGTGGTTGAAGTCACACCAAAACAAAAGGAAGAGCTTCAAGAGCAGCAGTAGACATTGCATCCTAAGAAGTTACCTTCCTCTGGGATATTCCAGTCTTTCGTTACATTGTATAATGGGAATCAGCTCTGGGTCTGGTGTGAGGCTGGAGTTATTGTGGTGGTGTGACGGACGGATTTTGTGAACCTGTCAGACGTTTTCCCACCGAGTTCACTAAAAGCCGATGTGCAGTGTGTGCAGGTGCCTTTTGTAATCTCTGGCATGGTTTTCCTCTGCCTTCAACAGTAAAGTCTAATGGTTAAGAATTGGATTCTGGAAGCGGGGCCATCTGCCTGGCTTTGAATATTGGTTCCGCCAGCATCTTGAGCAAATTGCTTATAATCTCTCTAAGCCTCGTCTGGAAATTTGAAGAAATAATAGGATTGCTGTGGGAATTAGATGAGGTAAAACATTTAAAGTGTTTGCCACTGTTTCTGGCATGTAGTAAATTCACAGAAATGCTGCTTGTTGTTGCATTTTGGATTTAGTCAAAGCTCCACTGAAGCAAAATAATTGTAGTTCACTTAGAGTGTGTACCATTCATACGAAGCTGAGAGTGAAAAATAAACCAGGAGGTGGGTTTTTCTAAAAGTCCACAACTAAGCTGTGGTGCCTGAAACTCTTCTTTACTCTGTCTTTAAACTACTTCCTCAGTCTGTTTAGTTCTCTGGTAATATCCCTGGCACCTAACACATGGCAGGATGGCCCTCCACAACCTGCACCAATCCGGTGGGGTTGCGTTAGCTTTGTCATTGTCCCCGGCAGCTTTCATGCTGAGGAGACCATATTGTTGGTATTGACTCAGCATTATTATTCAGTGTTTACTACTAATCATGGTTCAGAGATGACTTAGGTGGGTAAGAATACAAGTTTATGTTTTGATAAGTTCTGGAACCTTGACTCAGGCTTAAGAATCATTAGCTAGGTGGCTTTGGGCCATCCCCTTTACTTGTTGAAATCGGTTATTTTCCTCAAACAAAAAAAGCAATATTAAAATAATCTTTGAAAGCTTTTTACCTTTAAAATTGTATTAGAATAACTTGTCTGTGTGTATACTGTTATGTCCCCTTGATCTCGAATCGGTTAGGATCTAGGATTCTAGGATCTAGAGTAGGATACTGCATGTATAAGGTACTGAAGGGGATATAGAATGGGGTAGGTACTTTGTCATTTAATTCTTCTACATCTATCAGACTGGCCTCATTGGACTCTCACCTGCAGTTGGATTTCAGTGACCGATCTAAACTCTTTCCTGACAGCCTCGTAGCTCATGTGTAAAGCACATCTTCGCCTGGTACAGCACTTAACATATTATGCCATGATTTTTTTTTCTTTGTATCTTTTCCCTCATAGGCTTTGAGCTCTAAATGGAAATCATTTGGTGTTCTCCTTGATTTACATAACGTAATGCAAGATACTGTCATTAGGGTGACTTTAGTACTGTGATCATAGAACTCAGTGACCCCTGAGAAGTAAGCAGAATTTAAGTCGACGTCAGCTCAGATCTTGAAGAGTTGTAGACCCTCCAGTAGGAAGAATATGCAAAGAATTCAGAGTAGAATCCAGCAGTGAACAGATGTTTTGAAAGCAGGCAAGGGGTGATGCAACCTGGAGGGAAAGTCGAGATTCCAGTCAGACTTGGGGTTAGTATCATTCAGAAGCAAGGATGTAGACTCTGAAATCATTGATTTGGGGGCTTAGAGATAGTACTAGCTTGAAAGGGCTCTGTGTGCTCTCATCACGGGCAAGGAGAGCACCCTAGGTGTCTAGGAGCTCGCCTTCCTACCAGCAGGCCCCTGAGAAGACAAACTTCCAAAATTCTGTTGGAAAAGGAGTAAGAATATTTTTCCAAGTTTTTAAATAGCGGTGGAATGTTTGCGAGAACCTTAGATTGACTGTACTTAACAATTTAATTTGCTGGTCTCCTTACGAGTGTAATTATTTGGGAAGGCTTGTTTGTAATTAGACAATTGACATACTTAAAAACTGAATAGATTATTTAATCATAGAGTTAAAAATTTTAAAGCAACTTTTAAGTTTCAAAGTCTTGCTTGAAATTGGTTAAAATTTAGCAGATTTACAAATAGAGTAGTAAGATCTAGTGGTTGACCTTAAAAACCTGAAGAATTAAGCTTTTCAATGTAAAATTATAAATTCGATAAGTCAGATACTAGTTTCAAAAACTGAACTCGCCCGCGAACAATCTTTTTTGTGCACATAAACCATTTTTAATTGGCCAGAAAACTTAATAAATGATGCATGAGTCAATGTCCTCTTGATCCTATGAAAACAGGCCATCATTTGTTTTCACCTGTTAAAGAATATCTGCCTCAGGGTCAAAATAATAGCATTACATTTAGGTACCTGTTGCAGAATTTCTTTATAATTTATAATTACAGAGTAAAAAACAAATTATCCCATGAGATTCTGAAGTGACTTCAAGTTATGGCTTTGCCATCCCCGAATTATCTGAAACAAATTAAACTAAAGCAGCTTTATGGCTCTGGCAGTCCACTGACTGGAATTCCACCAAAACATATCTGGATGCAAGATGAATTCTTAGCCTTATGTGCTCACTGCCAACTGGAGTGGTTTCCAGATCTGAAGTCTTCCTCTGTCTTCTGTCTTACAAGGTGGTCAGATGCTGTAAATTTCTGATCTGCTTACTGCATTTCCTGTGTTGCTGTAAATATCTGCTGGTGTCTGATTTCTGGAAGGCACACGTTCTCACTCAAAATCTCTTGAGCTTGTGCCTTTTGCGCTGTAATTTCAATGTGGTTCTATGGATTTGGTTGGTTTTGTTTCTTTACCACAGTTGGTAATATATGAACCGAATTTAGTTTACCACAATCTTTATTCGTATTATTCTAATTTTTTAGTCTCCTAAATACACATCATTAACATTTCCCATTTTATGTTAAAGGTAACACTGAATTTGGAATTTTTTCTCTCTGCTTATGATTGGTCTTTTAAAATGATGCCTTTTTGGTAAATGGTTGTTTTTTGGTTTTTGTTTTTTTTTAGTGTTATTCTTCCACTTCCTCAGAATGTGAAGGATTATTTACTCGATGATGGAACTCTGGTGGTTTCAGGAAGGTAAAGTATACCAGAAAAAGTTCTTTCAACTTTATCATAAAGAAATGTTTCCGGGATTAAATCTCATAATTACCAGGTAAAATAAATACATTAGCTTTGGCACAATTCTCTCCCCTTTTTTCCCTAGTTAAAAGTACATCCTGATTTTTGTCTTGTGTTTCTTGTCAGTGTTCAATTAATAAGATTCAAAACTGAGTACTGCTTCCTCTGATAGTTACTGGTTGTGGAAATTGGTCAGTTCCTTCCATCTGTTGCTTGAGAAAATGGAGGTGGGGGGGCAGGAAGAGGGTCCGTTAGGACCCTCTGAAGTCCTTCAGTATTTTTGTTTTTTGTTTTTTTTTTTTGAGATCTTTCCGCTTTTAAGATAAAAAATTAATTGTCCGTTATAAACAGAAAGCTTTACT